GTGCCTCCGACGGGGCTCTGGTGCCGAGGAGGCTGGAGCCGTAGGCGTCCGGTGCAGCCACTGAGGCCTCAGACCGGACATGTGCATAGAAGCAGGTATTATTGTAGGTCTTAATTTTATACTTAGCAAGTCACTCCTGTCCTCTTTAGTGCCCCATTGCCTTTACCTTGCTTCTTTCATTTCCTGTCCTCGTCCATCACCCGTCCTAAGCACTTACGTGAGTAAATAGTGCAGCTCAGGATGCTGGGCTCTAGTAGGAAATCCTGGCTTACTTATTAGAGGGCATCACGGAGGGATGGACAGATTGTCAGCTAGGAGTTTCTGTTCTCTGGAAAATTCTCAGCTAAGTATGTAACAACAAAACCCTATGGTAAGAACTGGGGAAACAACTGATTTACTCATATTACATGATGAGTTAAAGCAAAACCAAAAAAAAAAAAAATCCCTATTTCCCCTAGACAGGGAGGACGCCTGAAAAAGGACGCCCATTTCCCTAAGAACTGACCCATTCTGGGCTTTTGTAAACATATCTAAGTCCCCATTCCCCTGAGAGGGTGCTAGGAAGGAGGATGAGGGGCTTCAGACTGGGGGCAGCAGACAGGGAATCAGGACACCTGGCTTCTGGATCTGCTGGGACCGCAAGCCAGGACCTCAAACAAAGTGGAACATCTGGGTCACCACTGCCTCTTAAAAGAGAAGCTGGACTTCAGCTCTAAGATTCATTGCCCTTGGGGATCAGACAGCTCTAGCCTCACCCAGTCCTCCAGAGACTGAGCCTTGCCTGTGCATATTTTAGCTTCTTTCCCCACTGTTTTAGAGAACTTAGCACCAGAACTCACATGGATCTCCATTTTTAAAAATTTAGCAAAACCAACTGAATGTAGATAACCTGAAGAAATAAAAGTGATGCTTCACTCTGTGTCTGTGTATTTAACTTCTAGTACTCTTTACATAGGAGAGAAGGGAGCAATAAGGGGAATGAGAGCAACATAATGACCTAAAGAAAAGATCCCCTACTTCTAGGGGGCACTGAAGGCTGTAATAACCAAATTTAGATCAGGCTTTATGATGTTTGTGTTTGTACACATAACTCTCATTCCAGAAATAGTAATGTGAGCAATCGCTTATGCCTCCTGTTTAGAAAGCTCTTTAACCCCTAAATGGTGGTTATGGAGATGGGGATAGGAAGTGACAGTGGTGTGGTAAGCAAGCTATCATTTATTGAGCATTTACTATTAGCCAGGTATTGTCATATGTATTATATCACTTAATTCTTGCAATTATTCCTTGAGGTAGGTATTATTATTCCAATTTTCCTGATTATGAAATGGAGGCAAAGGCAATGCAAATCTGTGGGACCTCTACCTCACAGAATGAGTTATAAAATCCTTCCAGTTTCCGATAAGTGTGCTCTACCAATGACATAGGCATAAGGTTAAAGCGTCATTTAGAATTGCCTTATCTGGCAATTCCCTTCTGTTTGCCATTCCCACTCTGCTGGGTTTCCTTATGCCTGACCATGGAGAAAATTATAGACTGCTGGGCGTGGTGGCTCATGCCTGTAATCCCAGCACTTTGAGAGGCAGAAGCGAGAGGATTGCCTGAGTCCAGGGGTTCGAGACCAGCCTGGGCAACTTGGCAAGACTTCATCACTAGGATAAATTTTTAAAAATTAGCCAGGTGTGGTGGCTGCCTGTAGTTCAAGCTACTTGAGAGGCTGAGCTGGAAAGATCACCTGAGCCCAGTGGACCAAGGCTGCAATGGCTCTGACACTGCCACTGCACTCCAGCCTGGGTGACAAAGTGAGACTCCTACTCCAAAAAAAAAAAGTTATACAGTCATGCACCCCAAAACAATATTTTGGTCAATGATGAACCACATACACAATAGTGGTTCCAGAAAATAAGCTGAAAAATTCCTGTCACTTAGAGACATCATAACCACAGGGATATTGTAGCACGATGCATTACCCTCACATTTGTGGTGATGCTGGTTAAACAAAACTACCGTGCTGCCAGTCATAAAAGTATAGCACATACCATGCTATACAGTATATAATACTTGATAATGATATTAAATGTGTTATGTATTTACAATATTATACTTTTAATTGTTATTTTAGAGTATACGCCTACTTATTAAAAAAGGCAATTGTAGGGCTTCTGTACTAGACTGGAGTCCAGTCTCTTTCTTTCTCTTTCTCTCTCTCTCTCTCTCTCCCCTCTCTCTTTTTCTTCTTCCCCCCAGTTGCTGACGCCATCTCCACCTTTGGGGTACCCTGAACCCGGCTGGAGCTGGTCTCCTGCACCCAGCTATTTTTTTTTTTTAATTTATTGTAGAGACAAGGTCTTGCCATGTTACCCAGGCTGGTCTTGAACCCCTGGGCTCAGATAATCCTCTCACCTCCGCCTCCCAAAGTGCTGAGATTACAGACATGAGCCACTGCGCCCAGCCCTCTGTTTGCTTTTATTTTATTAAGAATTTAACGAGCCGAGCTCGGTGGCTCAACCTGTAATCCCGCGCCTTTGGGAGGCTGAGGTGAGTGGATTGCCTGAGCCCGCAGGTTCGAGACTCGCCTGGGCAGCAAGACCTCATCTCTACAATAAATAAAAAAACACAACAAAACAGGCAATTGTAAAAGAGCCTCAGGCAGGTCCTTCAGGAGGTATTCCAGAAGAAGACACCACTATCATAGAGGAGTCGACAGCTGCATACATGTTATTGCCCCCAAAGACCTTCCAGTGGGACAAGATGTGGAAGCAGAAGACGGATATTGATGATCTTGACCCGTGTGTTTGTGTCTTGGTT